ATTCAGAGATACACTTTCAATGCTGTGGTACTTCTTTATAATCGATCAAATTTGAGTTGATTCGTCCTTATTTCCCAAATTCTGACTATCAAAAATAAGATGTTTAATTTATGCTGTGTGAGTTAGGTAACACAACAAGATTTAGATGATACATTCCAACCCCCATTCAAGAGTTGTGTGATTGATGGAAATGTTGCTGGTGTGATGTGTTCGTATAACCAAGTTAATGGCAAGCCAACATGTGGTGATCCGGTCCTCTTAGCCGGTGTGATTCGAGGCCAGTGGCAGTTGAATGGGTATTTAACTTTTGCATAATGTTCAATATTTTACTTTAATGACATTCCATTTTGGGGGAAAAAAATAAAGATAATCAATACATTTGCTCGTCGTTGGTTGCTGCAGGTACATTTCTTCCGACTGCGATTCTTTGAAAGAGATGTTTTATTCCCAGAATTACACCAAAACACCAGAGGAGACTGCTGCTTTGGCTATAAAGTTCAGGCGTGTAATATGTGATTTGAATTGTAATTGTTAGTCTTAGTGTACACAGTAGACTGCATGAGGCCTAATCGTACCATATACTGTTCCCTTGCCGACAGATTGACCCGTGCTTTAGAAATTGGATGCTACTCTGTTCTTTATTTTAATCTCAATAACAACTTATGACTGGATTAATATTCATGACCATTCACTCTTACTATACAGGGTTGGATCTCAATTGTGGATCTTTCCTGAGTGATCACACTCAAGCAGCAACAGATCGTGGACTTCTAAATGAAACAAACGTCAACAAAGCAATTTCGAACAATTTTGCCACACTGATGAGACTGGGATTCTTTGATGGTGATCCAAGCAAGCAACTGTATGGAAATCTAGGGCCGAAAGATGTGTGCACCACCGCAAATCAGGAGTTTGCCCGTGAAGTTGCACGACAAGGGACTGTTTTGCTCAAAAATACTGAAGGATCATTGCCTCTATCTCCCACTGCCATCAAATCCTTGGCAGTAATAGGTCCTAATGATAATGTAACCAAAACCATGATTGGCAATTATGAAGGTATCTTTTTAGTTTTTAAATGTAGTACGATTTATAGCAACTACTGTGATCATGTATGAATTTTTTTATTTTTTGCAAAATAATTGGGAAGAAGAGTAGTACTAATGTTGTCTAAAGGGACTTGCTAAGATGAGGCTGAGAATAGCTTGACCCTGACTATATCAGGGATTACTTACCATGGACTATCTTGCAGGCTTTCCCTGTAAATACACAACTCCTTTTGCAAGGTCTAACAGCCTCCGTTGCAACAGTGTATCAGTTGGGCTGTGCTGATGTATCGGCTCCGCTGCTCAAGTAGATGAAGCTAAGAAAGTAGCAGCAGCAGCTGATGCTGTAGTTTTAATAATGGGTTCGGACCAATCTATCGAGGCAGAAAGCAAGTACAGGCTCGATATTACACTTCCAGGACAGCAATCGATTTTAGTTACAGCGGTTACAAATGTATCCAAGAGTGTAATTCTAGTTATTATGTCTGGCGGTGGAATGGACATACAATTTGCAAAAGATGATCCCAAAATAACTAGCATCCTCTGGGTCGGTTTCCCTGGCGAAGCCGGTGGAGCTGCAATTACTGATGTTATCTTTGGATATTACAATTCTAGTGAGCCTTCCTCATATTTTCTCATTATTTTGGTGAAACATGTCCTCGAAGGTAGATTAGAAATTACTTGACATTATTTCTAGTATTGAATGTGTCCAATCTGGTGCAGGTGGAAGGATACCATTGACATGGTATCCACAGTCGTATGTGGACAAAGTTCCTATGACTAACATGAACATGAGACCAGACCCCACCACAGGCTACCCTGGTGGAACATACCGTTTTTACACTGGTCCAACTGTTTTTTCATTTGGGGATGGACTAAGCTATTCTCAATTCAATCACCACCTCGTTCAGGCCCCAAAGCTCATCTCTGTCCCCTTAGACGAGGGACATGTTTGTCACTCGTCAAACTGCAAGTCCATCAGTGCCGTAGAGGAAACCTGCAAGAATATAGCCTTTAATATTCATTTGAGAGTAAAAAAGGTGGGGAAAATGGCTGGAAATCACACTGTTTTCTTGTGTTCAAGTCCTCCCCAAGTGCACAATGCCCCTCGGAAACACTTGTTGGGATTTGAGAAGGTCCATTTGACACCAATGGCAGAAGGATTGGTCAGATTCAATGTAGATGTTTGCAAGAATTTGAGTATGGTGGACGAACGAGGCAATCGAAAAGTTGCATTAGGACAGCATGTTCTTCATGTAGGAAGCTTGAAACATTACTTGAGTGTGAGGATTTGACAAAGTCTTCATCAATGTTTACTTTTCTTGTTTTCTTTCTTCTTTTACAGAAGAAATAAAATGATAAATTTATCACAAGATGGATCGGGCAAAATAAGTCTACACAATTGTAACAAGTTTCTCGATGTTTTTTGAGTTCCAGACACTGTAAAATGAGCTTCTTGAACTCAAGGTTATATCTTTACAGTTTCTTCCTATTTACTTTAGTTTCACGGCTTCTTTTGTTTTTTATGCTTGTGTCCATTGAATTATTTTCAATTGTGAGCTATTCCAATAGTGTCATTACTTTCTCCAATGGATTCCCAAAATGAACTTCAACCTGGAGCGTAGACTAGTCAGACCCTTCCAATTCTATATTTATACGGAAGCTCCATCTAGGCTCAATTTTGAGTTGGTCAGCCCATTCTAGATGGCAGTGAGCCAGTGAAGTAAATTTAGATTGGACTCTAGTGCCACCAATGGTGGATGATAATGTCTTACTCAAACCAGCTGCAATCTTAAAAAGGCCTATTAAGGATAAATAGCGCGTCCATTAAATACTGAATAACAAGATGATACAAAAAAGTAGCTCAAAATGGATCCTACTAATCATTGTCTCCCATCTACAAAGCCTAATATTACTAAAGGTTAATTACTAACAAGAAGCTCAATTATTGTCTCGAAAAGAAGAGATTACAATAAGCTCTCAGAATAAATCTGAAGATACGGCAGCTGCCATGGAAAGTACGAGAAACCCAACAGAGATGGCTAGTGCAGAAGAACCAGAGCTTCCTAGAGCAAGACCAGGTGCTGGTGCAGGTGCAAGTTCATTAGGTGCTATACTGGTAGTTGGAGCACCCGGAACTGCAGTAGGAGATAATGCCATAGGAGAAAGAGCTGCAGTGAAACCAAATATGCACTTGTCAGTTAACTTGAAAATTCATCTAACTCAAACTATAGACGCCGGACTTCGATGAGTTTCGTAATATAGAGTTTGAAGAAGAATATAACCAGTCAAGGGTAATTGGATCTGTGCATACCTGGAGCAGCACCGGCGACAGTCACTGTGATTAAGTAATAACAGCAAAATAATAACAAGAAGTTAGTTTTGAATTCGTACAAACAATTGATCGATGAAAGAAAAAGTTTAAAGAAGTATTTTTCTATAAAAAGATAAGGGCTATGACAGTGAAGAAAACTCAAAATAATAATTTTTACCCCGAAATATACATAGTAAACATGAAAATCGAAAGAAGAACCATAAAAATGGCCAAACAAAACTCGAAAGAAAAATAAATCATGAAACTTACGGCCACAGTTGCTAACGGAAGGGGCAGACACATGGCAGGCAGCAGGTAAAGTCAAGGCCTTGGTGACATTAAGAGTGACACCCAACTGTGCGCTATTCTTGAAAGCCTCGCAGAGACACTCAGCGTCTGCTTTCAACACGGTCTTAAGCCCAGAACAGCAAGAACCTTCAGGCTTCTTCGTGGTGCTTCCGCTGGTCACAAATGAAAGGCAGTCTGCCAAGTTTAATACCAGACTAGAGCAGTCCACGGCTGGAGCCGGCGCCGAGTGTGAAGTGGACTGGACGGTGGTGAAAAGAGCAATGAAAAACAGCACGAAGAAGAATGGAAGTTGGAAGGCGGTGCTCGGAAAAGGTGCCATTTTAGAGAGAAGAGTGTGCAGAGTGAAGAATGAAAATGGCAGGGCAATCGTAAAGGTTTATAATGGGCAAAAAAACACTAAGGGGGTACAATAGGGACACATGGAGATCATGAGGTGTCCTCTTTCTAGAATGGAGTTACGATTGTCTTGAAATTTGGGAATTTTCAAAAATCAAAAGTTGGAGCCTACGCGAGTAATAAATTTGAAAGTTCGATAATATTACACTAATATTACACGTAAATTAAATTTTTTTCTTTTTAATTAAACATTTTTAAAAAATTATTATTTTTATTATAATATAGAATAATGGTAGCCAAACGGGCGCTAAATGAATAAATACACAGGGATCATTTTAATCCCCTCCATCCAAAATTCTCGATTGGGCAGAACGTCACGCTCCTTTGTCATCCCAAGTTTGCAAGATGATTAATCAAATTTAAAATGTCGACCAAATTCGACTGTTAAAAGGTTAATTTGCAGCTTGGCAAATGTCGTATTTGTATTCAAAATGGCCAACCATTTGATTAGAGGGGTCCTTTTGATGGGAGGGAACATCATAGTTTGAGTTCAAATTTTTAATCTATTAAAAATGGATTAAACCATTTGTACATTGATTTTGTACATGATGGTTGACATGTCTTTACAAATTCAAAAGTGAATGGGCGGGAANAACTATTTTTTATTTTCAAACTGGTCAATCATGTCGCGACACATAAAACAATGTAAACAACAGAAAAGCTATTTGTACAATCATTAGTGGTTGACAATACTTACGACACACTCACATTAGTGTGGGCCCCACCAATTTTACACCTAGAATTGTTCTGTAAACAATTGACCAAATGCCAGACAACTCCGAAATCAGTCAAAAGTGAAATCTGGTCGATCTTCAGAAAAAATCATCTCATCTCAGCCGTTAAAGTTGTCCATTTGACTGGTGAAGTGGTGTTTTGTTGAATATTTTTGTCATTTCAGTAGGAGCTCCAAATTAATCCCTCGTAATTTTTAGCCCAAGTTTGTCTCACATTATTTTAAATTTTTTTCTCCCTATAGTCATTTTTAATCATACATTCATACAATAAAATATTTTATACATATACCCAAAAATTTTTCTTATTTTCTAATCACACGTTCTTCAAAAATTCACTATTAAAAACAATATTTTTTTCAAAGAAAATAGCGGCCAAATAGGAGCTTAGAATGTAAGCCAATCCATTGTCCTTTTCTATTTGGTGCACATTTTTGCACCAAGAATGCATTTTTTATTTTGATGTGATGGAGAATATGTGGTTGAAAAATAATGAATGTTTATTAATGTGATGGAAAATATTATTTTATTGAATAATATTTGATTGAAAATGAGTAGATGAATGAAAATGAAAAAAATAATATGGTCAAACAGAGGCTGAGTCATTATGTCTTTCATTCTTTTAAAACTTTGTTTTCTATCTATTTATTTTCAAATACAAATTCACACGATAAAATATTCTATACATAAATTCAAAACTTTTTCTTACATTTAAATAACACGTTCTCCAAAAATTCACTATTCAGAACAACGAGAATAGAATAATTATTGTAGTCACCCTCCATGATGAACAGGTGTTATTGCACAAAAGGCGTTCCTTTGCCAGCCCCAACAATTCTTTCAAAGTTGGCCATTTCACATTGAGTAGTGCTATTCATCCTCAGTCATCTCCACTGGGGATGAAAACACAGTCTATGTGACGCTAATGTGGCATTAAATAATATGTGAAATTAAATAAGTCATTTAATTTCACATTTCATTTAACATATCGTTTAATGCCACATAAATTGTGTTTTTTTATTCTCACTGAGGATGAATAACATTACTTTTTCACATTTGTACCTTTTCATCAATGTTGAATGCATTAATTCAATAGAAATATTAATTTTTTTTTTTTTAGCTTAATTAATTTGGGATTTCGATTTGATTACACGATGAAAAGGGTGGGGTCATTATTTCGATTTGTAAAAGTGGGGTAGGCATAACTTGGAATCAATCAAACACAATGCTCTCAAAGCGTGATTGATGAAGGACACTCCTGCTACACCTTTCGGTGGATAGCCCACAAAATTACACCTTTTATGTTCTCACTGTAAACCTTTTGCAACGCCTAAGGGCCCTTTTCGTTGGCTTTTGTTTTTCTTCTGCTTTTTGTAGAAGATTTTTTTTTTCAAAAAATCATCTTATGTCAATTCCTATAAAAATTCTTTTTAATCGGACGAAGTAATTTCAAAAAATTATTTGACTTTCAAGAACCATTTCAAGTGAGCCATTGGACAAACTTACTCTAAAAGCCAAAGAGCTTCCAAAAAACAATCCAAACAAGTTCAAAAATGACTTTTAGTGTCAAAAGTAACTTTTGATTTTTCATAAGCCTTACGAACAGATCCTAACTCAACTAGTCAAGTCCATAGAAGTTATAGGCGAGCAACACCAATTATTAATTACCATGGGAAGTAGTTGCTTTAGATCTTCATACTACTATTGACTTCGATCCCATGTCATATTACTCGATTAGCTTGTGTTGCTAATTAAAAATTGATCGTGTCAAAACTAAAAGTTTGTGGTTAGATAAGTTCTTTTTAAAGGACACTAAAGTCTCGTAACCCCCATAACTTGCTAGTATTAACTTTTGAAGGCATTTTTTTCTGTTATCTTGTATGTGAATGATAATAACAACATTAACTCCACATACTATTTCACTCAAATGGAAAAGCAGAATTTTTTTCAGAAGTTCTTTCAATAATTGGCATCAGTAGCTGTACAAGTAAACATTTGAGAAACATCATAGATTCTGGCTAATGTAGATGTTCTTGAGAACAGTTGCGCCAATGTAAACAACGACAGCATTATTGCTTATAGGCCTAACTTATATTTTACGCACAAAGATTTGGAACAAGCAGAAGAATTACGCCAACATACCAATTTTCCTGCATGCTCAGAAAAAGTGATAGTATTGACTATTGACTATACCAAACATGCACTAACCTTGTGTTATGCAAGATTCTATTGTCTTCGAACCACTGATACAATAACAGCCACATCATGAAGCTTGCCGCCAGCATAACCTACATATCCAGCTGCTTGTGCAGCATCAGCAAACGGGCATCTGGCAGAACCAGACCTACCCACTTCCTGTGCCTGTGTTGCCAATAACTCCGCAATTTCCTAAATAAAGAGCGGGGGGGAAAAAATAAAAAGGCAGAGTTAAACAAACACCACTGATCGTTGATGAATGATACGGGGTAAAGGAACTTGATTTCCTGTGTATTTGCATCTACAAATGCATATATGTAAGTGTGTGAATGTGTGAATGTATGCACATTTAACAACATTGTTTATCAGAAAATCTTTAAAGATGTTTTAGCACCTCCAGCCGTTTATCACTGTTTAATGATGCCAGGACTATTGATGAAATTCCTTGGTCATATAAATTGTCAAAAAGTCCATCAGTTGCAGTGATAATAACGTTCCCCCTGTTCTGAATCAACTCTGTATTCCTGAAGACAAAAGCACATACAATAATACCCTGATTATTTTTGGAGTCACTTTTCTGAACCATCACAAGGTTTGAGGATACTAATGATTCAATATTTGTTTTGGAAAAGCATACCTCTGTGAGATAAGAGGGGTCATCACCTCTTTCAATTTGCACTGGAAAATGAAATTCATGAAGCATAGGGGAAGACTTTTTGTAAACACTACTGTGCCTTAGTATTATAAATCCCGAGTCTCCAATATTAGCCACTTGAAGAGCCTGTTGGCAAATTGAAAATCAGTCGAAATCAATGTGAACTTAGCTTGTGCAGTTGTGCCTTCTTGAAACTTCAACAGTGCTATTCAGGATCAAATTATGACTCATTATATTACTGCCAACTCCTGGAAGAGCTTGATCACATATGACATTAGTTATTATTTTATATAAAGTTCATCTAATCATATAAGAGTTCATGTACAGTCAGTCCCTTTACCATGCTGTTAGCTATTCGTATCTTGACATCACAGTCAGAAATTAAAATGCCAGTTGAGGTGTCACCATTATAATAATATAATTTCCTCGTGTGTATTTATATAGATAGGCAGATAGTTTATACTTAATTAGTTTGCATTTTTACGATAACATTATTGCTTGAGGAATTAAACCAAGAGACATATGATTTCTATATATATTGCATTCTGAACCATATTGATTGTCAGTTCACAACAACCAGCATCACTAACCAAAAGGAGGCATCAGAAGTTTACAATAATTTTTACCTCACCATCAAAGTGAGCAATCAAAACTGTCGAGGAACCAGGACACTGTGTTCTGGCAACACTGCTTGTAAGGACTTCAACAGGGTTGTTTAATGAATCTCCAGTGCAATCAGAGACAATGTTTTCACATCTTTTGATGAGTTCTTGCCTTCTTGGGCATAAACTCCTGGATTGACCCCTAAGCATTAAAATAAATAAATTACATGACCCGTAAAGCACAAATTTAACTACAAATAAAAATTATCATCAGGATAAAACCATCTTAAAAGTACTTATTGCTCAACTTCAGCCTCCAGGTCTATATCAAGCAGCAGTACCTTCTAGTGACCACTGACTAACTCCATCAGCTACACCAAGCCAGGTTTGACCATTGATGAAATATGCATCTTCTCCACCTGTCAACACCTGGAATTTATTATTTTTTTATTACTTCCCAGCAATCTTACAAAGTCAAAAGGTTAACAGACTTCTAACACGTTTCACACAGGATTTAAATTCAACAACATGGTAAGGTGTCGACTAAAATCGTTGAGAAAAGTGCAAAGTTTCATTTTTTTTCTTTTCCTTCTATATTTTCAAACTTGAAGTTGCACATGGACCATTATTAAGACAGGTTTAAGTTGCACAAACCACAAGGTTATACATAAATTCCAGCCTATGCTGAATGAAAATATATTCATAAGATACCTTAGAAGGGTGTGGCAACAAAGCAGCACCTGAAGATAGAACAAAATCTGCTTTTATTCTGCATAAAACAAATACATTAGCAGTGTTTCAACTTTCAAAAGTACTATAAAGCTGCAAATGAAGGAAAATAGTACTACATTAAATAACCGAGATATAAAACCAGGGTCTTCCATGATTATTAGAGATTATCTATCCTGTAATTGTTTTCTATAGGATATACAGGCAAAGATGCTTTATGAGGTCATCTTCAAGTTGTAAAGTTTCTAGAATCAGGGATTTTGATTACAGGAACAAATAGAAGGCATGCATTTCATAAGGGAACATAATTGTTCAATGCTACTTTGACACTAAAAGATAACAATGCCAGCAAAACAAAAAAAGAAAATACAGAGAAAAGAGACCTGTTTGCAACAGATTCAACAGATTTTAGCTGTGTCACTTCACAATCTGATGCTTCTTCAATATCACTGTTTTTCACGCTGTGATCATTGTCAGTCCTTGGTTCCAAAAGTGACTTCTGAGAATTGTTAAACTGTAAAAATTAATCTAACAACAGTCAGATTTTCAAACAGAAGAACTGAATTCTCTTTACTTTCAAGATCAAACTTCTCACACCAGATTTGCAGAGAAATAAATTAGGAAAGTTAACTCATTAAGCTTTGCAAAAAATCAGCATATCATGCAGTAAATAGAATCATTGTCAAATCATAAAAAGGACAACTGAAAAATGTGAAATTATATCCCAACAGAATTTGCAATAGAAGAACGAAAAAAAGCATCACAAAAGATCAAATTATAGAAAATAGGAATATAAACTTCATTTTCAGGGCATAAAAGTTTCCTTGACGAATATCTATTCTGTTACAAATGACTACGGATTAAATGAATTGTTAGGTTCATAATAGGAATGTTACGATTTACACACGTCCCTCTAAGTGTTAACTTTCCTTGGAATTTTTGTTTTCTAGTCTTCCTTCATTTCTCTTGTTTGATGTTTGGTTAAGGTTGGGAGGAGTGGGATGGGATGGGGTGTGATCTGCACTTCTGCCTTAATTTTTCAAATTTCAGGAGATGGTCATAAATGACTAAACAAAGGTGAGTGAGAAACATTACAAATCCAGTGGTATGAACTAAGGGGCTTTATTCTGGGTTCTGACACACCTTCTGTGGACGTGCTAGTGGAAGTAAAGCAAGTCAACTTTACATTGCAGTGGATAAATAGTAACATGGACCATACAAGATTTCTCTAAAAATGAAACGAAATTTCCGAAAGAGTTGTTTCATAAAGAAGACTTTGACATATCATCCTATATATCCAATCCAGGAAATAGAATGCAAGAAGTAACAAGACAATTATGAAATGGAATTCACTCTCAACTACACTGTGCTTCAAAAGACTTAACTAACCATCATTAGGCTCTCATTTCTATCAGCCACGGCAGATTCTTCCATGAATTCATTATCTGCTTCCTCATCAAGAATTGGTTCAGCTTCCAACTGAGGAGACACGGGCATGACCTCAATCATATCACTTTGACTTCCATGTTCGACGGTCTTACGTCGCACTCCATTCCCAGCCTCTGAATTCTGATCCTTAGAATCTTCAGAAAAAACAACAGTTACTTCAGAATTCCGATCCTTCGAATCTGCAGAAAAATCGATATCTACTTCTGTGAAAGGGAATGTGGCCACAACATTAACGTCACTTGAGTTACCATCTTCAGCTATCTTAGCCGGTATTCCAATTTCCAAATCTGATCCTCATTATCTGGAGACAAATTTATAGATAGTTCCAACTGTGGGGACACTGGTGTCACTTCACTCCTATCAAATCCTTTATCATCTTCTACAATCTCAATTCCATTTCCAGCCTCCATACTATGATTATTTGCCGAAAGATTTGTGGCTGCTACTATTTCCTCAGTATTTTCCTCAGTGACAATGTCGTCAATTACATCAATAACAGGGTCCAGCTTCAAGTGAATCGACTGAAGCATCATCTCTCCACCAATTTTCTCTTCTGCAGATTCTGCAGTACCACTACTATTATCTACTATAGAACTCTCATCGAGCACAGTCACACTTACAAGAGGTGAATTCTCGTCCTTGTGCTTTTCACTCTAACCTTATTCCACATATCCAACACTTTCTATATCTGCACTAGTACCTGAATTATCTTTTGTATCTTCGCTACGAGGAGAAGAATCTTTTATATCTGTTCTTGAAACACGTAATTCAACGTTCTTTGAATCTTCTGAGAACTTCTCCGTTGATTCATTCTCTTTCTCAACTACACTAATGGTTTCATTGCCGATACCTATTGTATTAGCTTCATTTATTGCCAATTCAACGTTCTTTGAATCTTCTGATAACCTCTCACTTGATACATTCTCGTTCTCAACATCGCTAAGCATTCATTACTGATACCTATTGGATTAGCTTCATTGCTTGCTAATTCGAATCTCTTTGAATCTTCTGATAACTTCTCACCTGATTCATTCTCTTTCTCAACACCGCTAATGCTTTCATTGCTGATACCTATTGGATTAGCTTCATTCATTGCTAATTCGACTCTTTTTGAATCTTCTGATAACTTCTCCCATGATTTACTCTCTGTCTCAACAATACTAACACTTTCATTGCCTTTATTAGCCACTTCGGTTGGACGAGCAAACTTATCCTCCTTATCTAGTTTCTTTACAATCACTTCTCTATTAATATCTCCATCCAAAACATTCACCATACTAAATCCCTCTTGACTTTCTTTCTTAATCTCCTCCAAAATTTTGGGTTCCGCCAGCTTCACATTTTCTGCTATCTCGCTTGGGTCTCCAAACCGGAACAAAACGCTACCATCAGAATGTTCTGCCAATGTAATCATCAAAAACCCCAAGATTATAGACAATTTCAAATTCGCTTAACAGAAACCCCTAAAAAATTATAGCTTTTCTTTCCCACTTCACCATTTCTCATATTATATTATGCTCAAGCAGAGTTATATAAAGAAAATGAAATCCATAACTACAGTAAACGATGCGTTGTTATAGATATTCTCAACTCAACAGAACAAAACGCTTATCCATAATGTTTGGAGTAGTCTACATGAGTTAGAATAAAATAAATAAATAAAAACGTGAAAAAAAAAAGCTCAATAATTACCATGGATAGAAATGACTTCAGAGTCTGGACTGAAGAGGGCGTTGAAGATTAGTGTTCAGAAAGCAAGGTAAGATGAAGTGGTTTTCTTTTTCTCCTCCTGGTTCTTGGATTTAGGGAGTGGGGAATGGTCAGGACGAATGGCTTTGGAGGGAGGAAAATTGGAGAGTTGGTGGTGAAAGATCGACAATGAAAGAAACTGCAGAAAAAATCAGCCATTATTGATTATTGTAGATAATTATAGCGATTACGAGAACAAGAAAGATGATGACAGTCATTGGAAATCTGAGACCTCTGACCTCCAAGGGATTTAGAGGAAGAATTAATTTTTAAATAGTGATATAATGGAAAATTTGTTGTTGAAAATGAAGAAAAAATTATTTATGTAATAGAAAATATTATTTTATCGAAAAATGTGTGATTGAAAATGAGAACTAATTTACTGTAGAATTTGAGAATAAAAAATAAACATATCATAGTCTCAATCTCTCTGTGTGTGGGATACTGTGATGTGTGGATAGAGCGAGATGGACACGTGGCAATTTTTTATGTTTGCAGAAAATTGGTTGAACATTTCATTTACAGTTGGCTAAACTATATGTTTTTTACTAGATTATTTCTTGCAATTTTAAATTATGCCAAATATTATTTTAAACTTTAGATTTTTATCTAACACAATCTTGAGTTTGTTGTCCCAATAATTACTAAACTTATGTTCATGTCTTCTATTGCTCAATAAAGTTTAAAATATCGAGATTTGATCACTAAATTTATCCAAATATTGAATGTTACTTACTGACTTAACTTCCGTTTATAACCTCTAACGGAAGTTAAGTCATGACTGACGGAATGTCCAGGTGGCACCATGTCACTATAAACACGTAAAAAAAGGTTTTTGGTTGCTCACTATATTTTAGCTTTATGAAATCATTTGTGTCACATATGCACGAGGATACTCATGCATAAATTTCTAAATACAAGATATGGAAAGGGTATTGTAGTCACTATTTCAAATTCTTGAATATTACATCAACTTCTTGAAGAATTCCTTTTACGGCACATGCTAGACACTATTTGTCAATAACACTATTTGGTATGGATTAAAATCAGATTTTTAGTAGATTTTAATAGAATTTGATGAAATGTGTGATTGAAAAGTTGTGGAGCTTATAAAATGTGTGGTTAAAATTAGTTATGAATCTTGGGTTAGATTAGAAATTTTATTAAGTACCAAATGAGGGAGACAATATTCCTAGTGGCTAACGAAAAACGCTATCATCCCCTTGAATAAGGCGTGTTGGTGAGTTGCAAATGACACCCCAAAAGCCTAAGACTAGGAATGCCATCTTAATTCTTGCCCAACTTCAAGTTCCTCCTGTAACAGATTAAATCAAACGAGGGCAATCTATACGTCCCTTCAAATTAGAAAATACAGAAAATTCATTGCTTGGATTTCATATGTATTTTGACGGATTAAACACGTCTTCCATGTGTATATGCAATCATATGACTAATATTTGCTGATCAAAGAACAAGTAATACACCCGAAGAGTCATTCAACGCGTCAATTATTATAAATTATGCACAGTCGAAATATTTCTACAAATATTTTGGACTTGTGAGCAAGAAACCAAGAACAGGAAGACGTCTAGAGGAGAAAGCGTCCACGTAGATGAATCCAACATGGAAACTGTGGATGGATCCCATGATCTCATTGGTTAGAACTCTATCCTAGATTGATCCCCAGATTTGACATGTCTTACGTGGCTCCTCACAGAGCTCTCCTTTAGATTTCCACTAAAAGGAAGCCATACGTTTAACAAGGCTAATTCTGCATTTAAGAAGACTCGAGAAAGTAAAGTACCATCTAGTACAATGTCCCTGTCAATCTTCAGATATATTGAAAGAGGAAAAGAAATGGCTTCAACCTCTGCTGCATTGGTAAATGGACTGGGATCTACATTCTTGACTGGTGGCAACAAGAGCCAGGCCTTGTTAACTGTCCCCTTTACTACCAGAGTGGGCGGTGCTGTCGCTCCCAAGAGGTTCGTTGCGGTGGCTGCCGCACCTAGGAAGTCATGAATCCCTGCTGTCAAAGTTGGTGGCAACGTCATCTACCCTGAGTGGCTTGATGGCTCGTATGTCTCTATTTTTTCCTATGAAATTTTCAAATTTAAATGCATTCCACCACCAACCCTCCCTCCAATGAGGAGGAGTCGGGTGTCCATTATGGACACCCCGATGTAAGAGGTGATGTACCTCTAACATCTCCCTAAAATTAGTTATGAATTTTGGCTTAGATTAGATATTTTATTAAGTACCAAATGAGGGAGACAATATTCCTAGTGGCTAACGAAAAACGCTATCATCCCCTTGAATAAGGCGTGTTGGTGAGTTACAAATGACACCCCAAAAGCCTAAGACAAGGAATGCCATCTTAATTCTTGCCCAACTTCAAGTTCTTCCTGTAACGGATTAAATCAAACGAGGGCAGTCTATACGTCCCTTCAGATTAGAAAATATAGAAAATTCATTGCTTGGATTTCATATGTATTTTGACGGATTAAACACGTCTTCCATGTGTATATGCAATCGTATGACTAATATTTGCTGATCAAAGAACAAGTAATACACCCGAAGAGTCATTCAACGCGTCAATTATTATAAACTATGCACAGTCGAAATATTTCTACAAATATTTTGGACTTGTGAGCAAGAAACCAAGAACAGGAAGACGTCTAGAGGAGCAGAAAGCGTCCACGTAGATGAATCCAACATGGAAACTGTGGATGGATCCCATGATCTCATTGGTTAGAGCTCTATCCTAGATGAATAAAGCTGAAGTGCCAGAAAATGGTTGCCCACTTGGGTGACCGACCCTCACAAGAGTGTGGGCCCGACGTGGGACCCGCGCGAAATAAAATTGGAAAAAAAATCCTCCTTCCCCCTAGTGTGTGGTTTGTCAGGGAGGGTGTTACACCTTCCCTGTCACCACAGCTTGATCCATCCTAGATTGATCCCCAGATTTGACACGTCTTACATGGCTCCTCACAGAGCTCTCCTTTAGATTTCCACTAAAAGGAAGCCATACGTTTAACAAGGCTAATTCTGCATTTAAGAAGACTCTAGAAAGTAAAGTACCATCTAGTACAATATCCCTGTCAATCTTCAGATATATTGAAAGAGGAAAAGAAATGGCTTCAAACTCTGCTGCATTGGTAAATGGACTGGGATCTACATTCTTGACTGGTGGCAACAAGAGCCAAGCCTTGTTAACTGTGTATGGAAAAATATAGGAGAATCAAAGTATATAATCAAATCGAAGGCCCGTGATTACACGGTTTCCTTAAATTGAATTCGCCACCTCACCGGAGTGCACGAGGTTTTGATCGGTGTTTGATTCCCAGGATACAATCGATTGTCGGTTCCCGCTGTACTACGTTAACCGCCTACGAACTAACTGTGACTTTTTTCTATCTCTCAAAAATTTCAGCAAAGGAATAACATGAATGAAAACACAAGCTGCTGGAAATGGATGAGATAACGGGTTTCTCTTATTGTGTTTGCTGGTTTTTGTCATGTTCTTCCAACTGTGAGCTCCTCTATTTATACACATAGATGAGAAGGGTGGTTATTAATACAATTGAAGACTGATTTACATAAATTCTTGAAACTGAAGATGTAATGGCACCGAAACTGAAGACGAATGGAAACTGAAGGCTGCTGATCTTCTGAAGAAATAAACTGATTTTCATTCAATTTCCAACAAACTGTCCCATTTACTACCAGAGTGGGCGGTGCTGTCGCTCCCAAGAGGTTCGTTGAAGTGGCTGCGGTACCTAAGAAGTCATGAATCCCTGCTGTCAAAGTTGGTGGCAACTTCATCTACCCTGAGTGGCTTGATGGCTCGTATGTCTCTTTTTTTTCTATAAAATTTTCAAATTTAAATGCATTCCCTCTTAAGTTTTTAGATGAAGTGGTTAAATAATGATATGTTGGATTGAATTTCAGGCTCCCTGGTGAATATGGTTTCGACCCACTAGGCCTTGGAAAGGATCCAGCATTCTTGAAATGGTACAGAGAAGCCGAGCTCATCCATGGCCTATGGGCAATGGCTGCAATTGTAGGTATCTTTGTTGGCCAGGCCTGGAGCGGTATCCCTTGGTTTGAAGCTGGTGCAGCCCCTGGCGCGGTGACACCTTTCAATTTTGGTAATCTGCTCGAGACTCAGCTCCTCCTTATGGGATGGGTCGAGAGCAAAAGATGGGTTTGACTTCTTCAACCCTGAGTCCCAATCTGTTGAATGGGCTACTCCATGGTCAAGAACAGCAGAAAATTTCGCCAATGCTACCAGTGAACAGGGCTACCCTGGTGGCAAATTCTTTGATCCATTGTGCTCGGCCGGTTCATTGAAGGATGGAGTTTACCATCCGGATACAGAGAAGCTCGAGAGATTGAAACTTGCAGAAATCAAGCGTGCTAGAATTGCCATGTTGGCTATGCTAATTTTCTATTTTGAGGCAGGGCAAGGGACGACCCCCCTTGGTGCCCTTGGCTTATAAGAAGTCTAATTTGCAGTTGATGTATAAAAACAAATTTTGTAATGATTTCTTTTTTTCTCGTGCTAGAGCTTAAAATAACTTGTTATCAAATTAAGTAACTTATTTCTGACTTAATCATAAAACATTCAAAGCTACTCATTTAATTATAAGTAAAACCTTTTAAAGGCGTAGCCAAACATGAGCATACCAAATCAATTTCTTTCCTGCCCTATCAAAGAAAGTTGAAAACCAAGTAATAACCTGCTCAGTTTTAACAATTAAACAAGGACTTAACTAAAAAAGCAGCAAGAAACATTGCATTTCTCTTGAGAATGCATTTTATTTCTTCCCTTTTCTTTGCTCTTCAATAGAAACTCATTATTCTTTCAACAGCATTCCCCATCAGGGAGTAAGTTGAGACTAAACTTTGTTAGTAAAATAATAACTTCATAATCATATTGATAAAACATATGACTTCAAATTAAGCTTATTTTCTTTTCAAGCATGCAAAAATGTTTACAAGTCATTAAATCTAAGAAAAAATATTCAAAAATAACACTCCAACAGAAGAGATATGAAAAATGAGGAAAAGGTTTGCTCAACACAACAGAAAGAGAGACAGAGAGATGAAAATTAATCATTCACTGCCCATAGCCATCAAAAATTCACCCTCGCAGACCACTTCCCCGCCAACATATGCTTTTCCTTCCATCTTAGCTATCCCAAAGCGTTTCTGCAGCTTGACAAGTGTCATTCTCATAACTAGGGTGTCCCCTGCGACGACTGGCTTTCTAAATCTTACTTTGTCAATTCCAGCAAAGAAGAAATTTTCCTTCGAGCCTCCCACTTCTGGTTGTAGCATAACCACGCCACCAACCTGAGCCATTGCCTAAATCCAGCAGTAACACATACATCACTGCTTTTGCAAATACACGCTTTTGAGAAAAGTGGGCATATAGGAACATACTGGTCATATAAAAACAGTAAGTGGTAGGCTAATGGGATGAGCAATAATGGACCTCAATAATTTTCAAACACAAATCAAAAGAAACCACTTTGCTATAAGTTGGAACTGTCTGAAGAACCTATTTTCATTTGTAAAAAACAGATGATTAATGAAGCCAAATAAGAACGAGTAACACAACATGGTTTACATGTAGAGAAAAAATAAAAAGAAGTATGTGCTACCTAATTTACGAGGATCCCATAAAGCTATTAGGCATCAAGTAAATTACAGTTAAAAATTGCAAACTCAACTTTAGAACTAAATCCTACCACCGATCCGATAGCCTTCAAAAGCTTCAGGTTCGGGAGAGCACACACTTCCTTGGTTGGGGTTTTATCAGAGTGGGAATTTTAGCAATATTTCCAATACAAAGCTTTATTTTTAACTAGTGCCTAATTCACCTCCCTTGGATGTTCGTGCTTACTTATTCACGACTCATGATAGCGAAAATGACACTACATATCAACAAATTTTCACGCTTGACTCTCACATATTGACTTCTTTATTATTGAACTAGTGTTGTGATATGTGTAGCTGGTGGCAGCATCCTTGCTATGTGAAGTACCACCAAATGGCAGCGCTCAAAACAGGTAGGGGAATCAACTCCGCACTTCATCTTATGTACGTCCTGTGCATACCATAAAAGTATGCATTCTCTTCATAAACGTAGATGCATCTCAAAATTTGACACACTTGACAATGAACAATTTTATAGATGACTTATATTTGAATGAATAGCCAAGGATGCCGTAAGTTTTGCAGCGAAAACTCCTTGCAGTCATTTCTACCCAGTTTTATTAACATAGAATCAGTGTCATGGCAACCATTTAGCCACCAAAACCTGTGTAGATACGAACACATAAATAATATCGATCACTTATAAATAAGTCATCCAACAAAAGTAAATCACCAATAACTGAAGCAACCACAAATAACGTGTAAAAATGAGAAAGAAATCAAAATTTGGTTTCCATGCATATCCTAATTTAAACCCAGGAACAGTGTGCACACCAATACTGGCACAGCCATATGGAGTCCAGTGGAGGCAACTGCTCCCACTGGATTCTGAGGAGAAGAATTAGTATAGAAGATTAAATCAATTTTTGGCCAGCAGGCCTCCGATCCACGCTACTACTAATTATTAATTGCAAGCAGAGGACTCATCACTATTTCTGAATCTCTATCACCCATTCACCCTGACTTTCGTTCTAGATAATCTATCAAAACTAAGATAAATGTTAGTTCTGTATAAATAACAAAATGAAATTTCATCTTTACTACATTGAAACTTTATAACATGAATCATTTTTTTCACTTCAATTTATATTTTATTTTCAGTAATGTTAGAATTTACTACATAAATCTATTTTGATCCTTCCATTTTGATCCATCAACATATTTACTGAAAGATTTAATGGAACAAAATCTTTTTAGGTTATATCAATTTTGATAAACCTTGTCGTTCTTCTAACCAATTCTAGTGAGACATCTTTGCTATGATCAAAACCAATAAAAGATGCATCATTTTTCTTAACCTGTTATCCTTTAAAAACCAAATAATGGGCAACAAAGGATGTTGCAATCAACAAAAGGAAGGATTCTCAAATCAGAAAAAAGAAAAGTAAATTTGGTCTATGTATGTTGAGAGAACGATTGTATTGTATTGAACATCATAACATTTTTAATATTAATAACTTGTTTTAAAAAAAATACTGTGTTAAATTACGACTCCACATAAATTTCTAGTTCTGCCCTGCAAGCCAACTATTTATAGATAAAACAAGTTGAATTATTCACCTCAACCATGAGAACACCTGGCATAATTGGCCTCTCGGGGAAATGCCCGGGGAAGAAATTATCATTTATAGTCACATTCTTGATAGCCACAGCCGACACCCCGGGATTGTACTCAACCACTCTATCCACCAGCAAAAATGGAAATCTACAGCCCAAAGCAAAAACAAAAGAAAATAAAAACCAAAGTGTAATAACAAGGCAGCCAAAAGAAAAAAAATTACAACAAGGCTATCAAAATAGTACAACAGGAAATGAATACCCGAAATCACTAGCAAAAATGAACTCAAACTGAGAACCGCATTATATTATCAAGCAACCGAATAATGAATAACAATGAAATCACTAAAACAAAGAGAGAATCAGGAACGTGCGAATTTCACTGACCGGTGAGGCAAAATTTCGCGAATCTGATCAATGCCCATTACTGTAGGAAATGCCGGGTACTCTAGAAAATTAAAATTAAAAAAAAAAAATAAGTCTTCTACCATATGAGGGCAAAAAAAGAGACAAAATTAAAAATTCACAACATGCAATGCTAATAAGATACGTACTCAGTTCAATTGGGGTTTCATCACATGTGCTGTCATTTCCAGTGGAAGCGCAGTTGGTGACAAACATTTTGTGGGTCTTCTTAAATTGAGTCGAAACAATACGGGATCTGGATAAATTAAAAGTTTGATTCGGGGAAAAAGCAAACGGCGTCGCATTCTCGAATCTTTTTTTCGAGATGGAGGTGCACGAATTGAGAGTGGATAACGATTGGGAGAGAGCTGTGGATGCCATTTTGAGGGTATCTTTCTCTCTCTGAGTTTGTTTTGGGGAAGAATTGGAGAAGTTGGTGTAGTTGAATGCTAGAGAGGGAAGATGGGAGGCGATAGTAACGAGGGAAGTGCGGTGAATTGGGTTTGTTTTGTGGGGTAATTGCTGGTGGTAGACAGTTGGGAGGGAAGTGCGAAAGAGAGGAGGCGGAGTGACCGAGACCGGGCGCACACTGTACAACGTTATTTTATTCCCCACCTAGAAAGTTTACTGTACAAAACGTCCTAATTGCATATTTTTATGTTAAATTCATTAATATTGAGAAATGCTATTCATCCCCACTCTATGTGGCGTTTATGTGACATTAAATGATATGTGAAATTAAATAAGTTATTTAATTTCACCTATCATTTAACCAATTATTTACATCCACATAGACTGAGGATGCATCCCCACTGGGAATTAATAACATTTTTCATTAATATTTACTCAATTTTATACTTCATCATGATCATTAAATTTTATTTTATTTCATCATGATCATCAAACTTTATATTTAATGTTACTATGGTCACTCAATTTTATTTTATTTTACTATTGTCACTCAATTTCATATAATATTTCACTATGGCTATCCAACTTCTTTTAACCATTTTCATTAATTTTAAAATGGGTAAAACGATAACTTTGCATTATATATATATGATAAATTTTAAAAAATCAAAAATAAAAGTTTTTTTTTAAATTTTTAAAATAAGTTTTTATTTTATTTTTTTAAATAACGTTTTTTAAATAAGTTTTATTTTACTTATTTTTTAAATAAGTTTTTATTTTATTTTAAATTTTTTAATTTAATTCATATATATAATGTGAAATTATCGTTTTACCCCTTTGAAAATTAGTAAAAAATGGTGAAAAGAAGTTGGATAACAATAGTGAAATGTTATATAAAATTGGATAGTTATAGTAAAACGTTATATAAAATTAGGTGTCTATGGTGAAATAAAATCAAATTGTGTGGCCATGGTAATATTAAGTATAAAGTTATGTAGACATGGTAAAATAAAATCAAATTTGATGGTCATGGTGACACTAAATACAAAGTTTTGTAGTCATTGGTGTATTTAACCCATTTTTTTTTTCATTTTCACCCATATTTACACATTTCATCGTGGAAATCATCATTTTAATCAAGTTTCTAAATTAAAAAAAACTGTTGAATAACGAATATATCTCTGTATTTAAAAAAAAAAAAGGAAAACAAAATAAAAATAAAAAACTAATTGCAATTATAATCCTTTTTTTTTTTAATTTCAAAAAATGCAAATAGAGC